AGGAGGGTGAGGAGGTCGATGACGGTGAGGAGGTCTAGGAAGTTGTGGAAGATGAGGTCAAGGACGGTGAGGAGGTTTAAGAGGACTAGGATGGTCAGACGGTCTAGGAGGGTGAGGAGGTCTATGAGGACTAGGAGGGTGAGGAGGTCGATGACGGTGAGGAGGTCTAGGAAGTTGTGGAAGATGAGGTCAAGGAGGGTGAGGAGGTGTAATAGAGTGAGGAGGACTAGGAGGGTAAGGTGGTTTAGGAGGGTAGGGAGGTCCAGGAGGGTGAGGAGGTCTAGGAGGGTGAGGAGGTCTAGGAGGGTGAGGAGGTCTAGGAGAGTGAGGAGGTCCAGGAGGGTGAGGAGGTCCAGGAGGGTGAGGAGGTCTAGGAGGGTGAGGAGGTCTAGGAGGGTGAGGTTGTCTACGAGGGTGAGGCCGTCTAGGAGGGTGAGGCCGTCTAGGGTGGTAATGAGGGCGAGGAGGTCTAGGAGGGTGAGGAGGTCTAAGAGGGTGAGGAGGTCTAGGAGGATGAGAAAGTCTAGGAAGGTGAGGAGGTCTAGGAGGGTGAGGGAGGTCTAGGAGGGTGAGGGAGGTCTAGGAGGGTGAGGGGGTCTAGGAGGGTGAGGCCGTCTAGGGTGGTAATGAGGGCGAGGAGGTCTAGGAGGGTGAGGAGGTCTAGGAGGGTCTCATCTCCTCCTTACCCCCTGTGATGCATGCAGCGTTCAAGACAACTGGGAACTCAGAAAAATACGAGGCCTGACCTGTAGCAGCATGATGTCGTGGCGGTGGTTCTCATTGTCCGAAGCATTGTAAACTCAGCAAAAAAAGAAACGTCCTCGCACTGTCAACTGCGTTTATTTTCAGCAAACTTAACATGTGTAAATATTTGTATGAACATAACAAGATTCAACAACTGAGACATAAACTGAACAAGTTCCACAGACATGTGACTAACATAAATTGAATAATGTGTCCCTGAACAAAGGGGGGATCAAAATCCAGAATCCGATTCGTTAGACAATACATTCCTTAGAAACATGTACATGGAGATGTGTTGGATACACTAGCAGCTCTGAATATGCAGTATAGGATCACAGATCGATGTTACACCACAAAATGGGGCGGCGCGCAATTGGCCCAGCGTCGTCCAGGGTAGGGGAGGGAATGGCCGGCAGGGATGTAGCTCAGTTGATAGAGCATGGCGTTTGCAACGCCAGGGTTGTGGGTTCGCTTCCCACAGGGGGTATGAAAAAAATAAAATAAAATAATGTAAGTCGCTCTGGATAAGAGCGTCTGCTAAATGACTAAAATGTAAATGTAAATGTAAAATGAAGCATTGATATTCAGCACAATACAGTTTGACTTGATTCATTTAAGCTTGCATAGTTTTTTGTTAATCCATGTATTAATATATATTTTCTCAACAATTAAACAAAAACAATATTACAAAGATGCACAAAAACATGTGGTATTGTGACAACCTACATATGTGAGGACAAGCCCTTTTTTATTTTACAGTGGGCTGCAGTCAGGACCCATACAGTGAGGGAAAAAACTGATTTCATCCCTTGCTGATTTTGTACGTTTGCCCACTGACAAAGAAATGATCAGTCTATAATTTTAATGGTAGGTTTAATTGAACAGTGAGACATAAAAAAAAACATTAAAATAAATAAATAAACGCATGTCAAAAATGTTATAAATTGATTTGCATTTTAATGAGGGAAATAAGTAACTAACTAGTTGATGAGAATCCCTCCACAGACTAGACAACCTGTGCCGTTCTCCAGTCGGACCATATAGGGTAAGGAGTGAGGCACCACCTCCTTTCCACCAATGATCTCCGCACAATCACCTTGGAGGAGATATGAAAGGATACATTGAAGTGGATCAGTGAAGACAGGGGACATGGTACATACACACTGACAGATAATGAACATATACAGACACTGAGTACCAAGACAATAGAGAAGATCAGATATGACGGCATGCATGTACCCACACATACACAGGCACACAGGAGACTCTTACCCGTGTGCAGATACAACGGGAGAATGGTGATGACCCAGAGACAGATGACGAGGCTCTCTGAGGTAGAGATGAAGGCTCTCTGAGGTAGAGATGCTGTCTAATGTTGTCCGGAAGAAAGCTGTGAGGAGCTCAGGGCTCTCTCTGACCTTGAACCTATGTTTATGCTCAACTCAAAGGAATGTCGTCTGAGTTCACCACAACTTGGGTAAAAGTCAGGAATTCACAAATACAGACACCCAACCCCCTCAGTTTTCCAGACACTGGTCAACTTCACAGTCACAATACTTTCCCACACTTCAGTTCTGTTGGTAACAGTCACCTTCAGAGACTAGAATCATCGACTACACTCCAGAACACAGGGAATATTCCGGCACTTGTCCATTTTTAAGAGTCTTTCCAAGACGTAGTTATCCAGTTTCGCAGAGTTTTTCTAAGTATTTTTAGTTCCTTGTATAAAAGCGTCCTGGTCTTGTCACAGGGGGAGCAGGGGGGAGCAGGTGCCACGGCTCTGGGACTCCAAACCATCGGTGACACTATATATTGTATCCCTTTGAAGAATGTGTCATGCAAAAACCAAGCCATGAGGTAAAAGGAATTGGCCGTAGAGCTCCGAGACAGGATTGTGTCGAGGCACAGACCTGGGGAACGGTACCAAAAAATGTCTGCAGCATTGAAGGTCCCCAAGAACACAGTGGCCTCCATCATTCTTAAATGGAAGAAGTTTGGAACCACCAAGACTCTTCCTAGAGCTGGCCGCCCAACCAAACTGAGCAATCTGGGGAGAAGGGCCTTGGTCATGGACCCGATGGTCACTCTGACAGAGCTCCAGAGTTCCTCTGTGGAGATGGGAGAACCTTCCAGAAGGACAACCATCTCTGCAGCACTCCACCAATAAGGCCTTTATGGTAGAGTGGCCAGACGGAAGCCACTCCTCAGTAAAAGGCACATGATAGCCCGCTTGGAGTTTGCCAAAAGGCACGTAAAGGACTCTCAGACCATGAGAAACAAGATTCTCTGGTCTGATTGAACTCTTTGGCCTGAATGCCAAGCATCACGTCTGGAGGAAACCTGGCAGCATCCCTACGGTGAAGCATGGTGGTGGCAGAATCATGCTGTCTGGATGTTTTTCAGGGGAAGGGACTGGGAGACTAGTCCGGATAATAATAATAATATGCCATTTAGCAGACGCTTTTATCCAAAGCGACTTACAGTCATGCGTGCATACATTTTTACGTATGGGTGGTCCCGGGGATCGAACCCACCACCCTGGCATTACAACCACAATGCTCTACCAATTGAGCTACAGAGGACCGGAACAAGGGAAAGATGAACTCAGATTGGGGGGGAAGGTTCACCTTTCAATAGGACAATGACCCTATGCTCACAGCCACGACAACCCAGGAGTGGCTTCGGGACACGTCTCTGAATGTCCTTGAGTGGCCCAGCCAGAGCCCGGACTTGAACCCGATCAAACAAGGTCCAATCATGATGTCAGTTTCCGACAAGAAAGATGCCAGTTTCCGACTTGGATGACTGTTAAAAATTATTTTTCACAGTCAAACCTATTTTTCGGAGTTCCCAGTTGTCTTACACACTCAAGGCGGATATTTCCGAGTTCCCAGTTTTGAACGCGGCAACTTTGCTTCTTAAATCCTATATCTTAACTGAATTGCTGACATGCAAAACATATTGGGACTATCAAGTGGACTAATGGAAAAAATACCAAGAGTTGAGTGGATTATTGCTATAAAACGCACTCGACTCCTGAGATTATCAAAGAAACATTAAGTTCCAAAGTCATAACAAAATTTACTTAATGATATCAAAACATTCAACTGATAAAGTACAATACTCTCACAAGATCTGACCATACATTTCTCAGAAAGGCTCTAGTTTCCATTTCTCTGCCTCTGAGGGTCTGTTGTGGTGGAAGTCAAACCGCAAACACATCCTCTCTCACTTCACACCAACAAACAACAAATTAGCCCACCCAACTACCTCATCCCTATATTGTTATTTATTTTGCTCTTTTGCACCCCAGTATCTCTATTTGCACATCTAGCATTCCAGTGTTAATACTATTGTAATTATTTTGCACTATAGCCTATTTATTGCCTTACCTCCATAACTTGCTACATTTGCACACACTGTATATATATTTTCTGTTGTATTTTTGACTTTGTTTTTTTACCCCATATGTAACTCTGTGTTGTTTTTATCGCACTGCTTTGCTTTATCTTGGCCAGGTCGCAGTTGTAAATGAGAACCTGTTCTCAACTGGTTTACCTGGTTAAATAAAGGTGAAATAAAAAATACAAATACAAAACTAGCAGACGGCTGTGGTTGTGCTTTATGGGGCCCATTCCGACATAGGAAAGGCCTACATTTCCTACAGTATTTGGTATTCAGACTTACCTTAGCCGCGTAACACGCTCTGCAGGTGTGGCTGCCTTGAGCGCTCGGAATACATGTCATTCTACTGCTGAAAACCCTCCCACTTGCAAGCCAAAGATTTTCTAGTGGGGTTTTCATTCGATAGGGTTTTCAGTACATTTATCTAAAGCCATCCCTTGAAGGCTGTGGTGGAGCCTGGGGAGAGGCTAAGATGGTCTCAGGGAACAGAGGCTCAATGAGGCAGAGGAAACGCTTCAACTCAGGCTTTATTACATCAGTTACCAACAGAAACACTTTACGACGAACTTCAAGTATAACTTCAGAACAAAGATTATCTTAAAAATGAGAGTCTTTTCAGCACCAACCTGTCTGCTGCTGTCTCCAGTCCTCTCTGTCCAATGGGAGCAGCAGCAGCCTAATCAACTGTTGGGGCTGATTGTCCAGCCAATCACACACTTGATTGACTAATTACCCTCAGCTGGACTCCATTAGCCTTCCAACTGGGAAGGTGCCGTAAGGAGCCGGGAAGGCACTGGAAGGTCGCGGCAATAGGCTTGCCCTCCCCACACAGCACCACACTTCTTTCCCACATGAAGGAGGCCATCGGCCGACTGAGGATTGGCTATTCTACGGCCTCCCCTACCGCCCCTACCCAAAATTGGCCATTCCAGGCCCCTGCCGGGTCAAAGGTGTGGTTGGCCAACAAGGGCAAGCCACCTAGCAGGGGGCCCGGTAGAGACAGCAGCAAGAGGTGCTGTGGCTTCAGCACTGGAGGTGCTGGGGTTGACTGCAGCAGCAACGGTGGCGCCACCTGGTGGCACGGTGAGGGACTGCAGCGATGGCGGAGCGTTCATTCAATAGGGTTTTCAGTGCATTTATCTTAAGCCACCCCTTTAAGGCTATACCAACTGAAGGGAACTAACAGTAAATCGGTAGTGTAATATGTGTTGTTATTAGGCCTACTGACGGTCTATACTTAGAGTGGCTCCTCTGGTCATAAGATCTAATATTGATTAGATGTATTATTACATTACACTGCTGTTCATTGATTATTGATTGCCATTAGTATCTATCTATTTATCCTGCTACTGGTCGCTATTACTCCTGATTTCATGTATACACTGAGTGTACAAAAAATGTAGGACACCTTCCTGATATTGAGTTGCACCCCCCCTTTTGCCCTCAGAACAGCCTCAATTCGTCGGGGCATGGACTCTACAAGGTGTCGGAAAGCGTTCCACAGTGATGCTGGCCCATGTTGACTCCAATGCTTTCCACAGTTGTGTCAAGTGGGCTGGATGTCCTTTTGGGTGGTGGACCATTCTTGATACACACGGGAAACTGTTGAGCATTAAAAAAATCCAGCAGCGTTGCAGTTCTTGACACAAACCGGTGCACCTGGCACCTACTACCATACCCCGTTCAAAGGCACATAATATTTTGTCTTGCCCATTCACCCTCTGAATGGCACACATACACAATCCATGCCTGAATTGTCTCAAGGTTGAAAAAATCCTTATTTAACCACCTGTCTCCTCCCCTTCAGCTACACTGATTGAAGTGGATTTAACAGGTGACATCAATAAGGGATCATAGCTTTCACCTGGATTCACCTGGTCAGTCTGTGTCATGGAAAGAGCAGGTGTTCATAATGTTTTGTACACTCAGTGTATATTACCATTAGTATATTACCACTAGTATATTACAATAAGTATTTATATATTCCTGCTACCAGTCACTTTTCAGCCCTGTTTTCATGTATATATTAACATAAGTATTCAGCCCTGTTTACATGTATATCTGCCTACAGTGACACTCTTGCACCCACACGTATGCTGCTTATTACTGCCATACGGTTTACTATTACTATTATTTATCCTGCTACCAGTCACTTTCGCCTAATCCCTGCCTACATGTACATATTTACCTCAATACTCCAGTATCCCTGTATATAGCTGACCCTGTATATAGCTGACCCTGTATATAGCTGACCCTGTACATAGCTGACCCTGTATATAGCTGACCCTATATATAGCTGACCCTGTATATAGCTGACCCTGTATTTACATTTTAGTCATTTAGCAGACGCTCTTTTCCAGAGCGACTTACAGTTAATTGAGTGCATACATTTTCATACTGGCCCCCCGTGGGAATCGAACCCACAACCCTGGCGTTGCAAACGCCATGCTCTACCAACTGAGCTACATCCCTGCCGGCCATTCTCTCCCCTACCCTGGACGACGCTGGGCCAATTGTGTGCCGCCCCGTGGGTCTCCGGTCGCGGCCGGCTACGACAGAGCCTGGATTCGAACCAGGATCTCTAGTGACACAGCTAGCACTGTGATGCAGTGCCTTAGACCACTGCGCCACTCGGGAGACTCGAGTGCCACTAGAGCTTCCTCTCTTATTTATTTAGTTTTTCTTATTAGTTTTACCTTTTGATATTGATTATTGATTATATTGATTGTAGGGTTGCAAGTTAAGCATTTCACTGTACTTGTGCATGTGACAAATTGAAACTTGAATACGACATGCACACGGCCCCTAAGCTAACTATAGCCTCTCTGTGAGACGGAAGCAGGAAATCACCCCACTGTGTTTGCTGATGTGATATTGTCTAACTTTCACATGAAAATACCGGTTCATGCACAATTCAACACAAATATAACATTCATTGTATAATGAGAAGACAGCATTAAGAGCAGAGTATATATGTCTCTCACCTTTAAGGGTCCCGATGCCCAGCGTATATTAACCTCTGCTCCTGGACACAGAGGAGACAGTGAACCTTTACGGGTCCCGATGCCCAGCGTATATTAACCTCTGCTCCTGGACACAGAGGAGACAGTGAACCTTTACGGGTCCCGATGCCCAGCGTATCTTAACCTCTGCTCCTGGACACAGAGGAGACAGTGAACCTTTACGGGTCCCGATGCCCAGTGTATCTTAACCTCTGCTCCTGGACACAGAGGAGACAGTGAGACAGGCTCAGAGGGAGAGTGAGTATAGGTGCTGCTCTGGGGAGGGAAGGGAGTTTTAGTACTTTATGTTTTTTTAAGGATGTGGGCCACAAACTGTTCCCAAAGCAGACCATACCCAGTCCTACAACAACAACAAACAACAACAACAACAACAACAACAACAACAACAACAACACCAACAACACAAATAATTATTGAGACTTACAGTACAACGAGTGCATATATTTTCAGGACGACAATTTTAGAACTTTTAAAGCCAATCAGTAGTTTTGGTGTGGTGTGTGGTGTGTGTGGTGTGGTGGTGTGATGTGGTGTGGTGGTGTGGGTGGTGGATGTGGTGTGTGTTGTTGGGTGAGTGGTGGTGTTGTGGTGTGGTGTGATGCTGGTGTGGTGTGGTGTGGTGTGGTGTGTGGTGTGGTGTGGTGTGGTGGTGATGTGTGATGCGTGTGGTGTGATGTGAGTGATGTGATGGTGTGGGTGTGTGATGTGGTGGGTGTGTGATGGGGATGTGATGTGTGGGTGTGGTGGTGGTGTGGTGTGTGTGATGTGAGTGCGTGTGGTGTGTGGGTGTGGTGTGTGTGTGGTGTGGTGTTTTGGTGTTGGATGTGGTGGTGTGTTGTGTGCGTGTGGTGTGGTGTGATGTGATGTGGTGTGTGGTGTGGTGTGATGTGGTGTGGTGTGTGTGGTGTGGTGTGGTGTGATGTTGATGTGTGTGATGGTGTGGATGTGTGTGGTGTGGTGTGGTGTGGGTGTGTGATGGTGTGGTGGTGGGGTGGTTGTGGTGTGGTGTGGTGATGGTGGGTGGTGATGGTGGTGTGTGGTTGTGTGTGTGGGTGGGTGTGTGATTGGTGTGGTGTGGATGTGGTTGGTGGTGTGGTGATGCGTGATGTATGTGATGTGGATGTGATGTGTGTGTGTTGTGTGATGTGGTGTGGTGTGGTTGTGTGTGGTGTATGTGATGCGTGTGGTGTGGTGGGGTGTGTGATGGTGTGGTGTGTGGGGTGTGGTGTGTGTGATGAGGTGTGGTGTGGTGTGTGTGTTGGTGTGTGTGTGTGGTGTGGTGTGGGTGTGATGTGATGTGATGGTTGGTTGGTGTTGTGGTGTGTTGTGGTGTGTTTGTGGTGTGGTTGTGGTTGTGGGTGGATGTGTTCGGACAGACCTGTTCAGGCACATTCCTCATGTAGGTGGTTGATGTTATGACAGGTGTGACATCACTGTGTAACAGTCCGGCCTCCACCACTGTGTCAGACAGAGAAAGGTCACACCATCAGCTTGCATCATGGGTGTTTGTGTACCTTTACAGTCTTTGGTGTGTACCATAAGACCATAGATTTGGCCGTTTTGCACCTGACCAACAGTGTGTGAATTTGAGGGTGTGTAAGTAGACTTATTTGCCTTAGCAGTATTTACATTGCAAAGCAATTTTCCCTATTGGGAAATTAAAGTATTTATTGATTCGTTCATTCAAACCTTGAAGACTTGTCTCTGTGCTCTCTTCTTGCGGTGAATCCAGAGACAGTCTCTGGCAGACCGTGGAACTCCAGGCAGGGACAATGGCACCCCCTGGCGGCTACAGGGATATTGGCTAAAGGCTGCTCACCATCCGATTTAAAGCACTTGTAGGGATGATCAAGACGCCTCAATGCTTGTCTACAAAAGAGACTCTCCATGTAATTTTTTTAAATGTTATTTTTAATAATGATTACAGGTCTTTCACACTAAACCTATCTGGACTGGCTGTAAAATCTCAAATAAATTAGATTATGAGATTAGTTTAGCTAAATCGCCCAAAAAGCTCTGAATTCCTTTAGTGAAATCTGATCCCTAACACGGAAGAGACATCCTCCAAAGCCCGTTACCTCCTCAATCGAGAACTCCACTATGCGCCCGCCGCCCAGCCAGACTCAACCCAACCCCCTTCCCAAACTCATTCTTCCCCCTCCAAGATGGAGGCTTTGGGGTGCTACCCGACCAAGCCATCAAACCCGAGAGCCCGAATGGTCAGGGTTCTACTGAGTATGACGGTGTGCATGGGATGTTTATTAATGCTACATAGTTTTCTCAAAATCTCCAAGTCCAGGAAGCCGCAAGATTTCTATTCTTTTGAGGTGAAGGACGCCAAAGGGAGAAGCGTTTCTTTGGAGAAATACCGAGGCAAAGTAAGTCCACATCAGCAAAACTCAACGAGTAGACCAACTCTGTGTACTGCTGAAGTCAGTCAGTTTATCTAAAAGGTTGATAACTTGTTTCTGCTAACTCTGTGTACTGCTGAAGTCAGTCAGTTTATCTAAAAGGTTGATAACTTGTTTCTGACATTTACAATTCCCCGATATTTTTTTTTTTCTCCTGGTGCAGGCGTCTCTGGTTGTCAACGTGGCGAGCCACAGCGAACACACTGAGAAGAACTATCGCTCTCTGCAGGAGCTGCACCGGGAATTGGGTCCTTCCCATTTCAACGTCCTGGCTTTCCCCTGCGGCCAGTTCGGGGACACGGAGATGGGGGCCAGCCGGGACATCGAGGCCTACGCCAAGAACACCTACGGCGTCACCTTCACCATCTTCAGTAAGGTCAAAATCATGGGGTCGGAGGCAGAGCCAGCCTTCAAATTCATAACAGGTAAGCACAGTAGGCTTATTATAAGTCTGCATCGCAGTGCTAGCTGTGCCACTAGAGATCCTGGTTCGAATCCAGGCTCTGTCGTAGCCGGCCGCGACCGGGAGACCCATGGTGCGGCGCACAATTGGTCCAGGGTAGGGGAGGGAATGGCCGGCAGGGACGTAGCTCAGTTGATAGAGCATGGCGTTTGCAACGCCAGGGTTGTGGGTTCGATTCCCACGGGGGGCCAGTATGAAAAATAAAATAAATAAAAATAATAATAACTCACTAACTGTAAGTCGCTCTGGATAAGAGCGTCTGCTAAATGACTAAAATGTAAATGTAATAATAGTTTTCATGGGCACTGTGTGTGTGGGAGGAATTGCAGTTATTATGGCACATTGGCACACAACACAACGAAGACATTGGGCCTAATGACCGTTTGTTTCCATTCACCATACAGATTCTGTGAAGAAGGTTCCGAAGTGGAACTTCTGGAAGTTCCTGGTGAACCCTGAAGGCCAGGTGGTGAGATACTGGAAGGCAGAGGAGCCCGCCGAGAGCGTGCGTAAGGAGGCCATGACCATGGTGCGCCAGATTATTCTCAAGAAAAGGACAGAGCTCTGATGGGATGGTGGGCTCAGAGATGGTGAGGAGTGGAGTAAGGACACCCTCTGAAGTTTCCAGAGTTTGAATGAAACGTTATGAGGTATTAATTAAGATACAAACTCAACTCTGTTGTTAGGTGCTGAGTGGGACTTTAGGCCATTCTTTTCTGAAGATGGTGAAGACTGAAGATGATGACAAAGATTATGAACTATTGCAATAAGAGATGAAAGGGTGTGTTGTGTGTTTTAATGGCCCTACTGCCATGAATATAATAGTGTTATTCCACTAAGAGGGGCACAATTACATTCCCTGACAACCACCAGGTTCATAGTGAATTCCCTGACAACCACCAGGTCCATAGTGAATTCCCTGACAACCACCAGGTCCATAGTGAATTCCCTGACAACCACCAGGTCCATAGTGAATTCCCTGACAACCACCAGGTCCATAGTGAATTCCCTGACAACCACCAGGTCCATAGTGAATTCCCTGACAACCACCAGGTCCATAGTGATTGGGATATTCAAGAGGAAACCATTGGAAGGATTTCTTAAGAACATCATTTCCCATATTATGGCTTACTAAACCAGTACAATAACCTCAAAGAACCACTATTATGTGTAACTTAGATTTGTCTGATTTAAAGCAAGTTGTTACTCGTTTTGTCATAGCCGTTGTCAGATTAAAAAACTGTCCTTTAAACATGTAAATCCACGTTTACAGTAATGTAGAACAATCATTCTGTCCTTAAACATGTTAATCCACATTTACAGTAATGTAGAACAATCATTTAATGTAAAACATCTCTACCGGTACTGGATTTATTGATAAATGTTCACAAATGTTGGATTTCAAATAATCAGATGACACTTTGATTAATTGATTTATAGAAGCAATAGTCTCTCAAATGTTTATGCAATGTAAATGTATTTATTTATCCTATTCCATAGTGGTCAGGTAGTTGGTCACATGTGGTGATATGGAAGTATGTAACAGCTGAAGTGAGAACAGTCAGCTAACACAACACTGCCTCATCATGAGTCCACACAGACCATCTGAGAAAAGTGAACGAAAATCGGACAACCTCTGTTTTGTGGTTCCGAAAGAGTTTTAAAATCTGAATTCAACTGACAAAATGTTGAACCCGTTGCGATGAGTCTAGATTTTCTCAGATGGTCTGTGTGGACTAAACACTTGGTAGCAGTACTTTATTGATCCTAATGAGGGAAATTGATGACTGGAACATTTCACTTCAACACCAGTGATGGTTGGCATGGACAGCTAGAGGGCAGCAGCAGGTAAACTGATAAAACAGACCAATCAGCTAACAAGACACTGCCTCCCAGCCGCCCAATCAGAACAGAGGAGAGGGCAGGGGCAGCCTAGCTTAACGTAGCAGGCTCCTGAGCAGCATTTCCTTCTTTCAGCCCTGCTCTAACACCTAATTCAGCTAATCCAGGGATGACAACTCCAGTCCTCGGGGGGCTGAAGTGATGTCACACTTTTTTTCCCCATCCCCTAGCAAACACAGCTGATTAAACGTAACTGAACATCATGATGAGTTGATTATTAGAGTCAGGTGTGTGGGGCAAAAGTGTGACACCAATCAGGCCTCCGAGAACCTGAGCTAATCAATGTCACGAGAAACAGCTGATTAATAGGATCAGGTGTGCTAGTGCAGGGTTGGAGAAAAAGCCTGCATGCAGAGTTCACACCCAGGTAGAGGCGGAGTTTCAGGTGAGGGCTTAGAGAGCAGCTGTAGCGTGAGCTGACCAATCAGATGTTACGTTACACTGCCTACTAACCAATCAGATAACATTACACTGCCTACTAACCAATCAGATGTTACGTTACACTGCCTACTAACCAATCACATGTTACATTACACTGCCTACTAACCAATCACATGTTACATTACACTGCCTACTAACCAATCAGATGTTACGTTACACTGCCTACTAACCAATCAGATAACATTACACTGCCTACTAACCAATCAGATAACATTACACTGCCTACTAACCAATCAGATAACATTACACTGCCTACTAACCAATCAGATAACATTACACTGCCTACTAACCAATCAGATAACATTACACTGCCTACTAACCAATCAGATAACATTACACTGCCTACTAACCAATCAGATAACATTACACTGCCTACTAACCAATCAGATAACATTACACTGCCTACTAACCAATCAGATAACATTACACTGCCTACTGACCAATCAGATAACAGTCAGTTAACATTACACTGCCTACTGACCAATCAGATAACATTACACTGCCTACTGACCAATCAGATAACAGTACACTGCCTACTGACCAATCAGATAACATTACACTGCCTACTAACCAATCAGATAACATTACACTGCCTACTGACCAATCAGATAACATTACACTGCCTACTGACCAATCAGATAACATTACACTGCCTACTAACCAATCAGATAACATTACACTGCCTACTAACCAATCAGATAACATTACACTGCCTACTGACCAATCAGATAACATTACACTGCCTACTGACCAATCAGATAACATTACACTGCCTACTGACCAATCAGATAACATTACACTGCCTACTGACCAATCAGATAACATTACACTGCCTACTGACCAATCAGATAACATTACACTGCCTGCTGACCAATCAGATAACATTACACTGCCTACTGACCAATCAGATGTTACGTTACACTGCCTACTAACCAATCAGATAACATTACACTGCCTACTGACCAATCACATGTTACGTTACACTGCCTACTAACCAATCAGATAACAGTCAGTTAACATTACACTGCCTACTAACCAATCACATGTTACATTACACTGCCTACTAACCAATCACATGTTACGTTACACTGCCTACTAACCAATCACATGTTACGTTACACTGCCTACTAACCAATCACATGTTACGTTACACTGCCTACTGACCAATCAGATAACAGTCAGTTAACATTACACTGCCTACTGACCAATCAGTTAACAGTCAGTTAACAGTACACTGCCTACTAACCAATCAGATAACAGTCAGTTAACATTACACTGCCTACTAACCAATCACATGTTACGTTACACTGCCTACTAACCAATCACATGTTACGTTACACTGCCTACTAACCAATCAGATAACAGTCAGTTAACATTACACTGCCTACTAACCAATCAGATAACAGTCAGTTAACATTACACTGCCTACTAACCAATCAGATGTTACGTTACACTGCCTACTAACCAATCAGATAACATTACACTGCCTACTAACCAATCAGATAACATTACACTGCCTACTAACCAATCAGATAACATTACACTGCCTACTAACCAATCAGATAACAGTCAGTTAACATTACACTGCCTACTAACCAATCACATGTTACGTTACACTGCCTACTAACCAATCACATGTTACGTTACACTGCCTACTAACCAATCACATGTTACGTTACACTGCCTACTAACTAATCACTTGCTACATTACACTGCCTACTAACCAATCACATGTTACGTTACACTGCCTACTAACCAATCACATGTTACGTTACACTGCCTACTAACCAATCACATGCTACATTACACTGCCTACTAACCAATCATGTTTCACAACTGTTTCTTAACCAATCACATCATACTGCCTATTCATGGCCCCCTTTATTGACCAATTTTATTAATGAGATACATTACATCAGAACCATGTAACTTAGACTAACACCTACTTGATTCAGCTCATTAAATAATAATAATATGCCATTTAGCAGACGCTTTTATCCAAAGCGACTTACAGTCATGTGCGCATAAATGTTTACGTATGGGTGGTCCCGGGGATCGAACCCACTACCCTGGCATTACAAGCGCCATGCTCTACCAATTGAGCTACACCTATTTGATTCAGCTCATCAGACTAACACCTATTTGATTCAGCTCATCAGACTAACACCTATTTGATTCAGCTCATCAGACTAACACCTATTTGATTCAGCTCATTAGATTAACACCTATTTGATTCAGCTCATCAGACTAACACCTATTTGATTCAGCTCATCAGACTAACACCTATTTGATTCAGCTCATCAGACTAACACCAGATGTCAAAGAAGCAGCTGGCAGAGACAGAACTACAAGTAGCGAAGGGGTTGATAGTCAAATACACCCTATATTTCTGGGTTGCAGGGTCAATGTCATAATTAGACATTAGAATCTTGCTTGTCAGACTCATGCTGCTCAGAACTAGACAGAGTAACACCAGAGGAGGCTGGTGGAAGGAGCTATAGAAGGACCGGGCTCATTGTAATGGCTGGAATGGAATGGATGGGACTGTATCGAACGCATCAAACATATGGAAACCACAAGTTTGGTTTACAATGAGCCCGTCCTCCTCTGAGTAACACATTGATCAGATAGAGCTGTCTGTCTGTCTGTCTGTCTGTCTGTCTGTCTGTCTGTCTGTCTGCCATTAGAGGTCAGATAGAGCTGTCTGTCTGTCTGCTGTTAGAGGTCAGATAGAGCTGTCTGTCTGTCTGTCTGTTGTAGGGCGGAGCTCGAGACCAAAAGCAGTGAGGAGTGTAGCTGACAGCTGTCGATCACAGGAGCATAGCCAGCAGAGGTGCACTGCTGCACTCTCCTCTCCTCTCCTCTCCTCTCCTCTCCTCTCCTCTCCTCTCCTCTCCTCTCCTCTCCTCTCCTCTCCTCTCCTCTCCTCTCCTCTCCTCTCCTCTTTTTTTATTCCCTATCTCCATCTGTCTGAGAAGGTTCTGACTGCTATTGATGTCACTCGTTCCTCTATCTCTCTCTCTCCTCCCATCCTTCCATCCATTACTTACTTTCATGTTCTCTTCCTGGACATTTTCTTCCAAAGATGCATTTAACAAACTGGTTGAACCATTCTTTATTTAATGTATTTATATATAAGCATTGCACTATGACACTCAAACTTAATATAATAATTATTACAATGTCGATAACACCTCCTTACCTTCTGGCTGGTTTTGAAGGAGCAATGTCTCCTCTTCGTCCTGAAATCCCCCAGCAATCTCCTCATGATGTTGTCCTGCCAGTTAGAAAGACAGTAGTTCACAAGACTATAGCTCGACGGTATTAGACAACAGCACAGTACAACGACAGCTGCAGGTGAACTC